GGGCTCGCTTGCTGGGATGACTCACTGCACGTGCACGACAGAAAGGCACCGTCCGCCTGTTGACGCCGTTGAGTTGTTCGCGTCAGGCGGGCTGGCCTTGACACAGATTGCCTTTTTCAGAGGCACAGCCATTCGCTGTGGACTCGCAGGCATAACAGCACCTTGACCGCGTATGCGCCGTGCGCCTCTGCACATGAATTGGTATGCGCACACAACTATACAATGTCGCGACCTCCAGCATTTAATGTCCGCTGCACACTGCTCGGCTTTTGACGTGGTATTTTTCATTTGTATTTAGGGGGCATCTGCAGCAAGCAGAAAAACACGAATAGTTAACAAATATAAAGCTAGAAACTGTCTAATCGGATGTTTTGCAGACTGAGTAAAACTTCAGTAAAACTTGAGACTCAAAAATTTGAGTGAATGAAAACAAATTACACACAGTAAATCCAATAATAGTAAGGTATGCTGCTGAAAAATGTAACAGGCACCAAGAGGTTGCACTGAGCAGAATCAGTATCGGTCGTACACATGCAACACGCTCACATCTTTTAAACAATTCACCACACCGTGCAAAATGTGGTGATGCACTGTCTGTAGTTCGTGTTATAAGAATGTGTCCGAGCCCCGAACCAGAAAGACTGCGTTACTTCCTAGAGCCGTAGAAATGCCACATGCCATGCACCTCACCTACTCTTTCTTCTTGACGACTATCTAATGTTTCCCCAAAAGTAGTTTTTATGTTCTTTGCTATAGTGCAGACGACCTACATTCCATTAAATATTATCGCTAATTTCAGCCTTCTCTCAATCATAAGAAAATCACTGAGGCTTTTTTTTTTCAAATGCCATGCAGCATGCATTATTCGTCCAGACAAGGACAGTTGCCGACGCTGTGCGTCTTTGTAAAGCCTTTAGATTTTGCCCATTTTAAACTCATCACACATAGTCATTCCACTTAACTTCAGGCCTTCTACACCGCGCTTTTATTCTTGTCGCCTTTAGTAGTTTTCATAACAGAGTCACACCAACAATCCTGAGTTTGGTGCTGTTTGGCCCGAGTTGCCCTTGCACCATAAAATCTACCGCCATTATTGTTGTGATACCCTTCTTCGTGCTTAAGCGGGAAGCTGCAAGTATCTAGCTGGTTGGTGCTCTTCCCGCGACATTCCAACTTCTTGCTATCGCATCCCTTGCTTCGCCCTAGCGGCAAAATTCTTATGGTACCGCTTGCTTCTTGCATCAAAACGTAGTTGTTTAAGCATCCTTAACTATGCAATTAAGCGGAAAACAAAAAGAAATAATGTCACTTACTCCGTGATATAGTGAGCAACATGTGTTTGGTCGCGTTGTCATACAGTGCGTCGGCATAATTTTAAACTGCGTTTAAAGATAGCTGGGGCCCACTGTACAATAAGCTATCCGTCACGGTGGAACAGTAGTTATGATACTCGGGTGCTAACTCGACAGTCACGGGTTAGATCCCGGCCACGGCTGTTGCGTTTCAACATATTATAGTCAGCCTTACTACGCCCACTGCAGGGCAAAGGCCTCTCCCATCGTCTGCCAATCAACCCTTTCTTGTCCTCCTGTTACCACGTTATACCTGCAAACTCCTTAATCTTATCGGCCCACCTAACTTCCTGTCTCCCCTTCGTGCGTTTCCCTCCTCTAGAAATCCAGTTTGTTACCCTTAATTACCAGCGGTTATTCTGCCTACAAGCTACGTTCCTGGCCCATGTACATTTCTTCATCTTGATTTCAACTATGATATCCTTTACCTCGGTTTGTTTCCTGACTCAGTGTGCTCTTCTCTTGTCTCGTAAGGTTACAGCTATCATTTTTCTTTCCATTATTACTGCGTAGTCCTCAAGATAAGCTGAACCCTCTTTGTAAGACTCCAAGTTTCTGCTCCGTAGGTAAGTACCGGCAAGATTCAGCTGTTATTTACCTTCCTCTTGAAGGTTAGCGGCAGATTGCCATTCGTGATTTGACAATGCTTGACGAAGGTGATCCACGCCATCCTTATTCTTCTAGTCATTTCGCTCTCATGGTTTGACTCAGCGGTTACTACCTGCCCTAAGCATACATATTCTTTTACAACTTCACCTATGGCAAAGCGCTGTTTTTCTGTGGAGGCTGTTGCACATTCCTTTAGTTTTGTGCATATTAATTTTCAAACCCACTCTTCTGCTTTCCGAGCCCCCGGCGCGGTGGTATAGTGGCTAAGGTACTGGGCTGCTGATCCGCAGGTCGCGGGTTTGAATCCCGGCTGCGGCGGCTGCATTTCTGATGGAGGCGGAAATGCTGTAGGCCCGTGTGCTCAAGATTTTTGTGCACGTTGAAGAACCCCAGGTGGTCGAAATTTCCGGAGCCCTCCACTACAGTGTCTCTCATAATCATATGGTGGTTTTGGGACGTTAAACCTCACATATAAATCAATAATCATTCTGCTTTGCGTGTCCAGTTCAGTAATCATTAGTTGTTTATTCGTCTCATTAGTTATCAATACAATGTCATCACTCATCAGCGAATCGCACGTTACTAAAACACACTCTATTAACTCGTATCCCTAACTCTTCCCAATCTAAGCCCCTGGAAACCTCCTGTGAACACGCGATGAATAGCATTAGAGACATCGTGTCTCCCTGCCTTACACCCTTCTTTATTGGGATTCTGTCACTTTCTTTATGGAGAGCTGTGGTGGCAGTGAATCCACTGTAGATTTTTTTCCAGCATGTTTATGTAGGTTTTGTCGATGCCCTGATACCGTAATGTTCACATTACTGCTGAAGTCTCGACTGAGACACACGCCTTCTCGTAATCTACGAAAGCAATGTATATAAGTTGGTTGTAGTCTGCTAACTTTTTCTATTACAAGATTGATGTACGAATATGGTCTATTGAGGAGCACCCTGTACAAAATCCTGCTTGGTATTTTGGTTGACTGAGCTCCTATGTTGCCTGAATTCTAATAGAGAATATTTTTGTATATTGTTTGTAGAGAATGGACAGCAGGCTGATCAACCTGTAACTTTTCAACTCCTTAACGTGTCCTTATTTATGGATTAAAATGATGTTTGCGTTCTTCCAATATTCTGGTACCCTTTCCAACAAGAGACATTTCGTGTAAAAGTTGGTCAGTTTGTCTAACATAATTTCTCTGTCATCTTTGAGCAGGTCTGTTGTTACCTTGTCCTTACCAGCGGCTCTGCCGCTTTGCATTCCTTCTTGGGCTTTCTTTACTTCCCCCGTCGTTATTCGTAGGAGGTCGAATCCCTCTGCGCTATTATTGCTTCTTATGATTTCATCCTGGTCGTTTCGGCTTCTGCACAGCTCTCTGTAGAATTCCTCCGACACCTCGACTATCCAATCCATATTGGTTATGACATTGCCTTTCTTGTTCGTGGTAATAAGGCTGCAGCGCGAGCACCATGAATTCAAACCAACTAGCCCAAATCGCCATTCTCCTTTCTTGTTCCTTAATGCATATATCCAATTTTTTGCCTATGCACAAGTTTGCCTTCGCAGCTTTTAAGCTTGTGCCGCTTTTACAACCTGCTCGATTCCCTCCATGTAACACACCTTATGCAAAATTACTGCCATATGTCGGCCATAGTGTGTATGCAGCCAAGTTAGAGGCTCAACCGCGGCGCAGTACACAGAGTCCACGTGTGCTAACGTATACGTATGTCTTCTTTAGTTTCAACATCAGGACTTCGCCAGGTCCACTTGCAGTTAACCTGTTTTTTGAACAAGGTATTCAAGATCCGTAAATTATGGCATTCTGCGAACTCTACTAGTAACTCCCGTCTGGCATTTCTAGAGCCGATGCCATATTCCTCCATTGCATGGTTTCCGGTCTGTTTATTGCCTACTTTGGCATTAAAGTAGTTCATTAGTATGTTGTACTGTGTCTTTACTTTATTATTTGCTCACTGTAAGTCTTCGTAGAAGCATTAAACTAAATGATCATGCTGGCTTGATGTAGGCGCGCAGGCTTGTCCCAGCTTCATCCTGTAGCTTTTGTGAAAAAATGACGATACTTGAACCCTCTCGCCGACGCTATTTACTCCTATATATTCACAGAAATATTATTGTGTGTAAGAAACCTCACCCCTAATTGTTTTCTCTCAGCTAATCTACGATAGAATAGGACGTGTCCGTTTTTCAGCAGTGTATAAGCCTGGTGCGTTCTTCTAACTTTGTTGAGCCTTATTACATATAATTTCACACCCTCTAATTCTTCGAATCGCACAGCTAGAGTAGCCTCCCTAGATAGCGGTCTTGAGTTGAACGTAGCCATGTTCAGATTCTAACGGTGGCCTGTTCATCGTTTTTGATGGAGACGAAATGTTAGAGGGCCATGTACTGTCCGACGTCAGGGCACGTCAAAGAACACCAGATAGTCGAACTCCCGGAGCCTTCCTCTACGGCGTGTATCCTAATATGTTGATGTTAGGGAACGCGAAACCCAACACATTATTATTATTTTATCATCATTCCAAAGCAAGCCAGTCTGACATACCCACCAGACTTAACTGAGCCCGTACTTATTATTTCATGGTAATTATGCTGTAAATGCTCCAAGTGACACTGGATTTTCGGAGCTTGCAATTTTGATGCGTGGCAACTGGAAAGGCAGCGGCAAGTGTGTATACTGGTGCAATTTAAAATATTTACTTTGATCGATGAAGCAGGTAGGCAGAGGGTGGGGTGACGTGGAGACGAAGAGAAACGTCCTAAATATCTACTTGAAGCATGTATAACGTGTTAAAAGATGTTCTGTCTACAAGAGCACTGCTCATGTACGCGAACATGATACTCGTTTATGAAATCGAAATTCAGAAGTGTCATTACAGTAGTCCACTTACAGGAGCCAATGTTCAGTGCAGCCATTAGATATATGTGATGCAACCACTGAAATGCTTTAGCGTAGAAATCTGTTTCGCGTGTGCATGTTGCACGTATTCCACTGATGGTGTGCATGCATTGCCGCAGATATGTGGACAAGACAAGGTGACTTACATCAACCTGCGAGACAAGTTGCGCTGCTGCGCGTCGGGATTCCGTCGCCAAGGGATTGGAAAAGGCGACCGGGTCTACGTGCACTTCGGCAACTCCATCGAAAACTTTGTTGCTCTGTGCAGCATACCGCTCACAGGAGCCTCTCTTGTCACATCGGACATCATGTGGCGAGAAGGTGAGATAGCGCAGGCGTTCTTCATGGGCTACGTATGAAATATTCAAACAAAAGCGTTCGATGACATCTTAGTAACTTAAAGGGAACTGTCAATTCAGACGAAATAGACCTGTCAATTGTCGGGTCTAGCAAACACAAATTCGCGTTCGCATCGTCCTTCCGAAGCTTTTGCTTTGCAGCGAAAGCTGTTATGATATCAGAACACGGGTCACGTGCTGTGCCATAGTTCTCTGCCACCACCGGTGTTCTTAACCGGTATCACAAGCAAAGTAAATAAAAAACATCAAGGACACAATAGGATTAGAACCCGGGTCCACTGTGTGCCGGCCCAGTATTCTATCACTGAGACACGCCGTTACTTTGAACTCATTTATAAACTGGCCTTAGGCAGTTTTGATTTCAGGAAAGGAATGACGTTCATAGGAGTAATGAAGCGTTTCAGAAAATCCAAGGAACAACCAGGCATCATACAATGCGAATGGCGTAACGAGTGGGTTGTTCCATGCCCCAATCTATTAGAAAACTTGTTTTCGATCACCTATTAACTGTGGCGCATACCCCCTCCAGAAATAATTTTTCGTCCTCGTCAGCCATGCATAAAAATTTGCACAAAATTCCGAGCAAGCGTGTAGCGGATACCCCGCTTCTCTGAAGAATAATGAAGGATAGCATAGGTAATGCTAGCCTACTACACAATAATTATGTCTATTTATGGCGTAGTGGGTACCCAGAAAGTGTGCTTGCAGCAGTTGCCCAATGAGCATTAAGAAAAGGCTCTGAAAGGACGCTCTTCCAGCTTTCGCTGTGACTGTGGTTCCGCACAGGCCTGGCGTCTTTTCTGGAGTGTGATGAATCTAAATTATTTTTCTTTCTATTTCAGTAGTATTCGTGCCTGGAAACTCCTTTGCCTCGCTTATTGCCCTCGTGAGCAAACTTTTAGGCGACTATAGGTATAATTATTGATGTTTCAGCGATGCTAATAAGAAACAAATACAAGTGTCCGTGTTTTCTGTGCGTGCTACTAAATGCATGCTGAATATCTCGCAAGTGGTAACGATGCGGCTTAACAAATTCCATAAAAGTATGACATGGCCAAATTTATTGTAAGGAGGTCACTGTGGCCGCCTGAAGCCGCTGCAAGCCAGTGTCAAGCATTTCAACAATGCGAGAGCGTGCGCCGAGTGCCGAAAACGTTTAGTGAGTAAGCGCTGTTTGGAGCTGGCTAAAAGACATCGGGAAAGGCTCTAATGTTCGCATTAAATAGCGCGAACGCTCTTAGGTGCCCAACGCCGTAGGGTCGCGGCTTGTCGGTGCCATCACGGTCAATCCTGAACGTTTATAAAACACAAAAATTGGATGAATCCCATGAAAAATGAACAAGGTAGCAGTGAAAAGAGCCGGAGACGTCAGTGGCGCTGCCCTCTCTACATACCGAAGCTAACTGAAGCCGGGAATGCCAGGAAAAAGCACCTTTGCATAGGGTGTATTAATCACGAAGTTGAAAACATACATTTCAACGTGTTCGATAGTATACTGCAATTAACAGTCAAAATAAGGGCTATATTGTGTTGTCGGAAAGGGAGCAAGGGATTATCACTCTTTTTGTTGTTAAGTAGGTTCTTTCCTCCTTTTCTTAGCATTATTTATTACGTGAAAGGTGTAAAAAGTTCATATAACCATGTCTTGGTGAACCCCACTGAGTGGGTATGAGCCATTAGTATAAAGGCATCATCATCATCATCATTATCATCATCATTAAGCTGCATTTCAACGCAGTTTTGCGGTGATGTTAGGGAAGCGGGAATGGCCTTCCCTAAGTGCCATGGTTTTAGGCTTCGAACAATTGGTGCCTAATCGAAGAAATGTCTCTCTCTCTCTCAAAGCACTGCGCACGCCACCCCTTCCCATGTTCGCAACCCTTCAGTATACATGCTTCGCCACTCTCCAGTTTCTTTATCCTCTTTTTTTTAAAACACAGGACAAGGTTTGGAACACAGCATTTTGTTGGCTCCAAGAGGACACACTTGGAAAATAAACGTCATTATTTAGTTCAGGAAAGCCAAGCAATCGACAACTAAAATAGCATTCTGCAAAACTTGAAAAAAAAAAAAGAACAGATATCACAGCGTACATCTATTTTCAGATGACATTGGGGACAAAATAGAGAGGTCTGGCGCCACTCATGTTCTCACTGATGCAAGTCATGCCGAAATGTTCGCTCGAATTATTACCAGCAGCAATATCAAGGCGAGTGTGCAACTTTTTTTCTGCTTCAAAGATCTATTACTTATGTACTGAAGAAGTGCACCCTAAAGAGCTCCGCAGCTGTATCGTCAGCGCTAAGCAGGAGTGGCTCGGGCTGTACGTTGTTAGTGTTCACTATAGTGAACTAGCGTTCACGCTAGCTAGGTGAGCGCATACTGTCTCATAATACAATATGTGTTGACGAAGGCGTGTTTCAGCTCACCATTATAACTGGTGGAGGTGCTGGGTATCGATCATAGTACCTCTACAGCTATCGTGAAGACCAGTTTTTTTTTTTATGGTGAACACCAACAACGTCCCGCACAAGACACTCCTGCGCAGCGCTGACGACATGGCTGCGGAGCTAGCTCTTCGGGGTTCAATTCTTCTTTCTTTCGCTTACTGTCTGTCTGTTTTGAGAACTCAAAATCCCATCCATGAGCTCATTGGTAACCTCTACGCAGGGTTAGGAAGTTTTCTCTCTGACTCGTTGGTTACCAAGAATCCTCCACATAGCTCTCGATGTGTGTCGCGACTACGCGACAGGTGTGTCGAGATGTCCCATTTAGGTTTTTTGTTAATCAAAGCAACAACAAACAAAACCTTTTGATCACATTATACACATGTAGTACCATGTAATCAACTTCTACTGGTGAGCAATTCACTGGTTCGGACGAGAACCGGCGCATTCAGCATCGTATGGCCGATGGCAATTCACTGGTTGCATACTCTGCGTGACCAAACGGTGAATTAAACAAATTCTATATAGAAGTCTTAATCGCAAGAAACACACGTCATAAAGGGCACACTGTCTTGGTGGTTAGTGCGTCCGCATTCTTCGTCGATATCCCATCAATGAAGGGCGGTTACCCCGTCGACTCACAATCCAATCTGTTGCTATCGCATTCTTTGCTTCGCCGTTGTGCCAAAAGTATGACTTTTTGCATTGCATGTCATGAACTGCTTTTTAGCGTGAACGTCAAAGTGCGAAAGGGCGCAAATCGTGCGAAACTGGACAACCCTTTAATAATGATATTATATGGAAACTTACGTCCTAAAACCACTAAATGATCATGAGAGAAGCCGAAGTGGAGGGCTCCAAAAATTTCGACCACCTGGGGACCCAAATTTGAGCCCACGGGCCTACAGCATTTTCGCCTCCATCGAAAATGCAGCCGCCGCAGTCGGCATTCGATTCCGCGACCTGCGGCTCAGCAGCCGAGTTCCTTAGCCACTACGCCACCACGGCGAGGCGATTCTCGCTGATGGAATTTTTTAATGCAAATGTATTTCTTAGTTGGGCTGTGTAAGGCATCCAGCGTCGTCCGCGGCGGTGTCTGCGCGCCGGCAGGTGTTGTCTCCGCTCTCAATCCCTCTCTCATAGCAACAGCTATGGGCACGCGCCTTCCCTCGCCCATAGCAACCGGAGTATGTGGTGCGAGAGACTGTAGGAGAGAGTAGGTGCAGTGCTTTGCCACTCCTTCTCTCGCTGCTCACTCTCTCTCCTCCATGCGCCCCCTCTCATGTCCTCGCTCCTCACTCTCGACCGTTAGCTGGCTGGGTGCCTCTCAAAAACATGCGGAAATGTAAACTCTGCACTCTCCTTTGCTGCGGCGCTATGGACGACAACGTTAGTGCCAGTTGTAGCGGTATCCGTAACATATGCTGTGACAGCAGCGCAAGCAGCGTAAGCAGCACTGCTGACCAAAAGACGAGAGCTCGCGAAGCTGAACTTAAACGGCAACACCAGCAAGCAGACCCCAAACTCCGAGCTAAGCTTCAAAACTCCGCGTGCGACAACGCTGGGAATTACGTACAGTCTTATAAATAAAGACGCAACAACAGCGCGTACAACGGTCTCCTTCTCTATCCAGATGGATAAATGAGTATATTCATATTAAGCCATGTGAATTAAGCGGGATCAAGGTTATCCACATTAAGCGAATTAGGAGCAAGTAAATTTGTAATGAGTTCAGGTTAGCTGTCAGATGCGAAAGCATGGTCCCGTTAAGCCCATGGTCTATAGTTTTCACAATAATAACATAACACACGCGCCGTTTTCAAAAGAACTACACCATCTCCCACTAAAGAGAACCATGTGGGGATGTGAAGCAGCGCTGGGTGTTCACTTTGCGGCACACACAGGTAAATACACACAAATGGGAGGGAGGGAGAGCATAAGCGGTACACAACATACACACAATTCCACACACAAATGAAATATACACGGAAGCATACAAATGGAAACATCAAATGGAAACTCAAGTGAACAGCAGCGCTGCCTTGCATCGCCACATGGTTTCCTTTAGTCGGAGATGGTGTAGTATTTTATTGCGATAGCAATTACATGGACATTCTCGGCTGGATTTTGCTGCAAGCGTCGCATCACTCACCGTATATGTATACGTACCTTTATGTATGAAAACGCAAAAAAAGAAAAATAATTCAGAACAACGCACCGGTGCGCGGAATCGAACGTCGGACTTTAGAATTGAGAGCATGAGGCCTTAGCCACTAAGCCACGAAGAAGCAGCTTCTTCAACATTCAAGCGGCAAACTAATTATATCTAACACACCGTTGGTGATGGGCATTTTGGGGGAACTATTATGTTTTAAGCATTAGAAGCAAGATGGCACAATGAGCGCGCATCGCCACATTGTCACGACGCAACGGCACGTGCTCTAATCTCCTACACGTACTTTGCCCCGCGGAGCAGAGGCAGGGTGGATGCTCATACCTGCGCTTGCTCATCTTTTGGTGGGGACAATCATACACCTTGGCTGACCTTGAACTTTCACTGTAACGCCACATTGTCACGACGCAACGGCACGTGCTCTCATCTCCCACACGTACTTTGCCCCACGGAGCAGAGGCAGGGTGGATGCTCAAACCTGCGCTTGCTTATCTTTTGGTGGGGACAATCATACGCCTTGGCTGGCCTTGCGCTTTCACTGGAACAATTCTGTTGTAATTACCGGGCACACAAAGGTCACTGAAATCGTTGCACAGTCTTCGTTTGCGAAAAAGGTGCACTTTTCATACACAGCGAAGTAACAACTGAGACGCTTATTGGCGTTCATCTGTACCTGTGAGCACGTTTCGCGTGTCTTTTGTGCCTGAGAAACGCAGGGCACGTTTCAATCTGCTTACCGTTCTGCATGTGAACTTCCAAATTCTTGCTATAACGTTCATTTCTTCGCCTTTGTGGCGGCAAATCGGTGACTTTGTTTATTGTAGTAAGCGTTTATTATGGCCAAAGACTTAATTGCCTCATAAACCTGAAAATTTGACCATCAGCGTCCCGCAGCGTCAGGGACGAGTGACGCAAAAAATTACATTAAGTGTTAACGTCATCGTGACGTAGAGATCACAAAATTTTAAACTCTTTCATGAAGTCACATATTATGGCGTGACGTCATGAGATTAAACGCCATACGATGCCGTTGTAGCCTCCTCCTTTAGTCAGCGAACAAAACCGGAGAGCGCTTGGCTTCAAGAGGAGACGGCACTTTACAGCGTGGCACGTGAAGCCACAGCTCCTGTAAATGCACAAGGAACGCAGCTTTTTCTAGAAAAAGAAACTTTTGAAAAGCATACTTGTTGTCCGTAGAAACTAGCATTATAGTCACTGAAAGTATGAGTCAATGAATTACGCTAACTTTACGCCATAAGGCTACTGTTCTATAGGTGCGTATACGTGACGAAGTGTTAGAGAAAGGTCGGATTGTTTCGATATGTTTCATTTAGGCTGTCGTTTCTTTTCTGACTAAGCCATATTTTCGCCTTTTCGTTGTTAATCCCTCGCAGAAGGCATTTTTAGTTGGTGAGAAACGACCTGGATTCAACAGCGTCTCAGAAATAATCGAAAATGAGGAATTACTACCCCACGAAAGCGAGTTTGAAACAGGTGGCTGCACTTTTGTGAAGTGGACCACGGGCACAACGGGTGCACCCAAAGGCGCCGAGTATAGTGAAGAGCGCCTTCTGCGTCATATTGTGGGTCTTGCGTAAGTAGTCTTCTTTGTCTTTCTTTTTTTTTCGTTCATTTCATTTAGTTATACTATCAGCCCCATCTGGGATTCAGTCATTTCAGCGACACAGGCGGTGCCACGCGGCTTTCCTCTGAATCTGGAATATGGTGATAATTCTGCGCAGTAGTTTGGTCTGGCGGTATTCATAGGCACTTATTCGTTTTCATTCAAACATATATGCGTTTTTTTTAGGGAGAGAAAGGGTGGTCTGCAGCGAAACTAGGGGGCCTCATGAGCTTTGCTGCCTGAGACGCGCACTTCAGCACCATCTCGTCCGCCATTTTGACCTACTATCGCGCCACCTGTAGTCACTGGAATTATCGAATAACAGAGGTGGAAAAAAGAAAACATGCCTCATCCCTCCCTCATATGAATTGGTTTAATATGAAAGCAAACGCGTCTTCATAGAAGTATGCTATAGTGCTTAATGTGCACTGATATATGAGAGCTTGTGCAATTCCTATTAGTGTTTTCCAGCTACAACATTGTTGGACGTGTATACAGCCACGTTGACGCCCAGTGGCCCGTCTTCATCACAATAACTATCACCCATGATCATCATTTAACAATTGTGATATCTGAGGCTTTTACCATATACCGGAACACGGCATATCATCAATCGCGCAAAAGAAGAACATCAACAAGCCCACACTAAGTACTGCTGCTCGAAATGCACGTCTTCCAACATCGTCAAATATGCAGAGAAAATGAACGGTGTGCGCTCTTGAAACCTACGCCAGCGCTCATGCATACTGCGCTTCAGCAACGTGGGACACATATGTTCGTATATCTGCTGGCCTGAATTTCGCTCCACCAAGACACGAGATTACCCATCGACATAATTGCCTTGCTGCAGTTCAAACCAATTATTAATTAGGTCGGTGCTATCACTCTCGAATTAGTCGGTGGTGAAACATATTTGGTGCATGTGGAAGCTGCACGACTTCAACAACGAGCTGTCGGGCGCTAACTGGGCGAAAGGCAACATAACTGTGTCGGCGACTCTCCGATGCACGCTCGGTCACTGCTCTTGCGTGCCGGCGCGCAATCTAAGACGCCATGCTTCAACTGCGTCATGCCGCATTACTTCTCTCGAGCACTCAGCACCACCCGCTTGGCCAACAGAGAGCACGGAGCGGAAGGGCATATACGTGGGAAATATGTAAGGCGCGTTTGCACAATGGCCCACAAGTGCATCCATCGCTCAGTCTTTGTTATTAGGAGTGAGCCATCGGAGGCAGTTGCGGGGCATTATCAGTGGGTAGGGCACTGGGCACTTTTCGTCGTTTCGCGAGTACTTAGAGGTTGGACGCCAAGGGGGGAAGGGGGGGGGGGATTTGAATTGCAAAGAACTTCATTATAGTATAATACCATCATAAAGTGAAAAAAAAATGCCAGAGATCTACGCTCGGAGTCTACATGAAGTGCATATAAGCTGGGGCTGTTGAGTAGAAGTAGCAAGTCTTTTGCAAAATGCGTTTCTTGCGAAATGGAATAAAGCAAAAAAAACGCGCTTTAGCTGCTTCTGGCCGGAAAACACCAGGGTGCATAGCGTTACATAAAGCTGTCCTGTCGATACCTTGGTAAGCAACTGTCCCCAGCGCACATCACGTTTTCATGCTCAAAAGTTAGATAGATAGATAGATAGATAGATAGATAGATAGATAGATAGATAGATAGATAGATAGATAGATAGATAGATAGATAGATAGATAGATAGATAGATAGATAGATAGATAGATAGATAGATAGATAGATAGATAGATAGATAGATAGATAGATAGATAGATAGATAGATAGATAGATAGATAGATAGATAGATAGACAGACAGACAGACAGACAGACAGACAGACAGACAGACAGACAGACAGACAGACAGACAGACAGACAGACAGACAGACAGACAGACAGACAGATAGATAGATAGATAGATAGATAGATAGATAGATAGATAGATAGATAGATAGATAGATAGATAGATAGATAGATAGATAGATAGATAGATAGATAGATAGATAGATAGATAGATAGATATAGATAGATAGATAGATAGATAGATAGATAGATAGATAGATAGATAGATAGATAGATAGATAGATAGATAGATAGATAGATAGATAGATAGATAGATAGATAGATAGGCTAAAAGGGCTTGCCGCACGCAGAGAAATGCTTCGCATTTAAAAGCCAGGCACACTTTGACGAGCCAAGCGACAAGTATTTCGATTTTTGTTTATCCTATTTTGTAATAAAGCAAGAGACTTGCTATTACTACTCAACAGCCCCAGCTTACATGCACTTCATGTGGACTCTGAGTGTAGATGTCTGCAATTTTGATTTGGTTTGATTTGGTATTATACTTTGCAGTGGTTCTTTGAAATTCAAAAATAAGATAGCATGGTCAGGACTGAGTACATGAGAGAGTCAGCTGAGACTCCAAACATGATACGCAGTGTATGTGGGCCTCTCAGGTCGCGGTAATGCAGAAACTATGCAGCTCGCAAAACTATGTGACGCAAGCAAGTTGGATTTCTGCGGACACCAAGGAGAATTAAGCTAAGCACGTACAACCTGAATGAGCTATTTTTTTAGAAACGTTCGCAATCATGTCTTCAGTTTTTATGTTTTACTTTTTCTGTAATATCCAGAAAACGGCAGAAGCTGGAGGAAAAAGTTTCAAATAATTAAACGTTCCTCAACACCGGGTGTGACTGGAGCATTCAGAGATTTATGCGGTAAAAAATGTGATACATCTGTACCGGTACATCTGCCTGTTACAAAAAGTACAGCAGCAAACGATCATCGTAATCATCACCTTCCTTAGAGCTCTTACTTTTCCCGAGCGCTTCCACGTGTCTGAGTGCCATTTGCTTGCATATCGACCAATTAGGACACTTGCGAATTACTTACGAAGTATGACAAAGACAAAAGGGGCTGTAAAAATAAGCAAAAATATGCTCTATACGAAGGGCATTTGAAATATATATTGATTGCCAGATGCTGAATATTTGAAACTGCCTTGCTACCACGAAGAATTGACGACATTTGCATCGATTGGCGCGCCTGGGATGAGAGTCACTCCGCATCTGGCACCTAAACTGCGCGAAAAACAGCTCCTGATATATTATTGACCCACAAGTCACGTTGGCCAGTCGACGGAGTCACGCAGGGGGAAAAACAAGCGGTGGGTATAAGAGCGTAGCGTCATACGCGCAATGTTTCCCAAGATACATACACGCACATATTGTGTACATTAATCTACAGGCAGTTGCTCTTGCAGCAGTACCACCTGACAAGCCTTTCCTTACACAGTACACAAGAGCTTCTTTCGCAAAGTAGTGGAAACTAAGAGTTTGCTGAACATGTAGCACAACGATGGAGCAAAATGGTAGACGTCTTGTACTGTGCAATTACCACACACGCTAATGCATTCATGGTGTTCTAAACTACCCGGAGCCCTGACCTATATAGGGCGCCTCACATAGCATGGGTCGCACCATGGCGTTAGACCCCATAAAAAACACAGCAAAAGAGTGTATGCACGCGATAATACCAATAACCATGAGACACGGGTCTAATAAGGGCCCGAATCAGGCCTGAGGCTGATCCAGGCTTCAAACTCGCGAAAGCGTGCCCGGTCCGGACCCGATCCAATTAATGCCATCGTTGCACAGGGCTCATGACATGCTGTATCCAGGTATATCTTGGGCTACTTCAATGGTTAAAATATAATTACGGGCGTTAGTCGTGGGGATGGAAATTCACCACTACAACCTGGTTGCAACCGCGTCACATGGTGCTTTACCAGCGAAGCGTCAATGGACATTGTACTTGCTCTCATGTATCAATAAGCAACGAAATGCTCAGCTACCTTTGCTAAGGTCGTTTCACTTTTGCGCTATACCGTTTTTTTTATGACGGAGGGATCAGCCGTGCTTTATTTTCCTGGAATATGCAAGTGACAGCGATTGATCACAACAAGATTCGGGCTATAGCCGTTTTCTTGAACATGTTTTCTCTTAGCTCCGGTGAACTGTTTTCCTCGAATGACATCTGGCTGGGTGACTGCGCCATCTGCTATCTCACGATGGTCTACTTATGGCTTGCGGCGCTGCACCGGGGATGCACCATTGTGGTCAGCAAGACGTGCCACGCTGTACCTCTTGACGTCTTCGACGTCATAAAGGATTGTGAGGTATTGAACAACATTTTTCAATGCCAGAACATGTAACTTCTACCCAATTTCCAATCACTTTTTGATTTATTTAAAGCACCCATCTGTATGAAATGGGCTTGAGGTGGGCTGCCGTATTCATTCATTCATTCATTCATTCATTCATTCATTCATTCATTCACTTGTGAAATGTGGCATAAGCAGATACAACATTTAGGGAACGTGTACTTCATTTACACGAAAACAACAATGAATGCATAAAGATATGCATTTATTTAACAATATTATTATTGTTAATGTAATAACATTATTATTATTATTATTATTATTATTATTATTATTATTATTATTATTATTATTATTATTATTATTATTATTATTATTATTATTATTATTATTATTATTATTATTATTATTATTATTATTATTATTATTATTATTATTATTATTATTATTATTGGTGACTTATTTGCGATTTCCAAGCCGCCTGCGCACTCTGGACTACCTCTCTCCAATAGTACTTGTCTTTCGAATTCACGGCCACCTCAAGACACGTCCGAGCGACGCAGTTTGATTCCTGCGACAGCCTCTTGTAACAATACTGATTGTTGGCCTAGTTGGTACTTGCTTACTGACATGCTTTGGCCGCAAATAACACAAACACAAAGTAAAAAAACACAGAACGACAAGCACTAGTGGCTCCTTTTCCACTTGAATGTGATAGAAAGATGAAACCTGCCTCGTGTTTGAGCCAATGACCTCTTTGGATCTTTCTGTTGCTCAACGGCCACATCGGCCCCAGCGGTCCAAGGTCATTTTTCTTTCTAAGCTGAGCCCGGACACCAGTGCTGCCGACATCAGAAAACATATTACTTTAAAGGATCTGTCTTTCATCTCTTGCCGGTGCTTTTAAACTGAATTTCAGACCTATTAATCGTTTTACATCAAGGTTTACAATGTCACTTTACAGCGCTTGAATCACGCTTCGATGCTGCCTCAGGGATGCCTCTTCAATTGTTTCGTGGAGTGCTGCACGACGACCGCTTCAGCCCTCTCAGCTGATGTCAAGTGTCAAAATTGCCGTGTAACGTGAACACTGTGTGCCACAATGCTTGCGGTCTACGAGCGAAGACCAACGAGTTTTTCACCAATGTTATTTCGTCTTCTTTTCCTAATATCGCTGTTTCTGAAATCCGGCTTGGCCCTGAAATTTCCTCATCTGACTTTTTTTGTTTTGACTTTCACCACAATCCGCAACAGCCTATAGTTTTCAGTGAAACCCAAAAGAAAGGCGGTGGCATGCTGATTGCCACTGGCAGTTCACTGAAATCTCTTAGACCGAAAGACAAGCACGGACTCTTTCAAAGAATCTATTTGGTTAGATATCTGCCCTGAGCGCCGAGAAAAATTGTTGATTGCATGTTTCTATTTAGCACCCAGCATTTCCCTGCCTTGTTTCATTGTGTCATGTCTTTCATTGAACGTGTGTTTTCATCTCATTGTGGGCACAGTTGCTCTGGGTGACTTCAGTGTACCTGGAATTGACTGGAGCACGCTTAACGCTTCTTATTATAGTCCTTTCATCGAGGAAGGGTGCAGCCTACTCTTAGATATTTCAGCCGTTTAATTTTCGACTGCAACATAACACGGTCGTCAATTGAAAAGACAACGTCGTAGACCTCTGTCCGCTAAACCCATTGAAATTGCACGCTCCGACATCTCTCTTGTTCGTCCTGACAAATTCCACCCACCACTTCATGTACGATTATCTGTATGAGCCGAAACAATGAGCTACACAGTATTCATTTTAAACATTCTTCAAGATTTGCGTTCAAGAGAGGGAACTATACCCGGGATTTTATCATTACTTGTCAGCCGTTGATTGGTCACAAGCTACCGACAAACCAAATGGTGCTGAACAAGTGAAGGAATTTACGGAGCTTGTGTCAAGGAGCATGCGTAATTTTATACCACAATATACACATCGTAGATATACCTCTTGGTTCTCCCCTTAAATTATAAGTGCACTGAAGCGTAAAGATAGCACACACGGGAACGCTAAATGTTTTCCATTCAGCAAGTGGTAGGAAGAGTTCAGCTATTTCCGAGCTTTATTGAAATGCCTATATAAACGGGACCAAATTTTATACCTTGCATTATTAGAATTTTTTTTGTAACAGGCCAGCTCAGTTTTGCAAGTATGTACGCAAACGATCTAGCATAAGTGGGGAGTCCAGGCTACCATGCACTCGGACAGTGTCGAAGCGCATGCCGTCGCTAGTAGTTTTGCCACGCATTTTTCATCTGTTTGTAAGACCTGACTCTCTAGGACTTAGGTAGTACGACCACTTAAGACAGTTAGCACACCTAATGGTCTATTGCTGGATGAAAAGCTCACCTGCTCATGCATTAAGCGCTTAAAACCTTCCTCAGGCATCCGTTCTGCTATACTAAAAGCTTATGGTAGCATATTTGGCCCAGTACTGACTACAATATTTAACTGTCTGAATGCTTCCATATTTCCCAGTTCCTTAAACACTGGACAACAAACTGGGTTTGTTGTCCAGTGTTTAAGTCGAACTGCAAGACTGATCTTTTTAAGTACCACCCGATTTCTCTACTGTGTGCCACATCGAAGATATTTCATCTGGCTCTTCACAACATATTTTACGTTAGCGTGAATATTTCATTGATTCCTAATCAGAACGGTTTTACCCCTGGCCACTAAAGTATGGCGCAAATCTGTTCTCCTATTCATCCTATTTCTCGCAGTTTACTGTGACCTGATCAAGGCTTTTGACGTAGCCAGCAATTCTCTATTTTTGGTTAAACATGCCAACATTGATATTTACTCCTCTATTGTGAATCTCTTGCAGAGCTATCTGCTTAATGGACCATGTTATTTTGCCGTGAATGGCCAAACGTCTTCGTTGTAAAAAGTTACTAGTGGAGTCTCTCAACGGTCGGTATTAGGCCCACTCTTATTTTCAAGTTTTGTTGATGACGTTTATTTAGCGATTCGCTATTCTTCTTTTCTCTTGCATGCTGATGACTTTGAGATATTTAAGGAAATTAATTCAGTTGCCGACTGCCGTTTGCTGTAGCAAATTTGTGTTATTTCTCTGAATGGTGTCACAACCTGAATACCTCAAAGACCAAATTCATGAATATATCTAGCAAAACATCCATCGTGTAATTTCCATATTCTGTCTAAACCGTGCCGTTATGTAACGTATATGAGTTCTTTCTGATAGCATGCTCAGTTTTTCTGTTCACACCGAAGGTACTCTCACGCGATACATTCATTCTCTCGGTTGTGTTTGCAAAACCACTCGGCAATTCAGTTCTTTTACAGCCCTCCACAAATTGTACACCGCCATATGTCTTGCTCAACTTGAACAAGCATCTGTTATTTGAAATTACATTGCTAAATCTGCCATTGACGCCATTGTGCGAGTTCAAAAACACTACTAGACATTTACAATCATCATTTTGCTTAAAATAACGGTGGATCTTGTTATAACACTGCCAGATTATTATCGTTGCCACTGCTTCACTGCCGACGAAACCGCACTGATTTACTATTTCTTTACAAACTAGTTCACAATATGCTATCCTGCCCATAACTTCTCAGTTCACAGTATGCCATCCTGTCCTTTACTTTTATGTTGTCATAATTTTCCGGTTCTGCGTAAGTTAGCGAAGAAGAATCGACCATTTCTTGTACCTGCCGATTTCTTTGAACTTTCAAGATCTTGATATTTTTCACAGTCCGCTGCCAGTGTTTTTATTTCAGCTCTGCACTGTCTTGGCATAGTTTTTCACAATGTACAGATTCTTCCCTTTCAGTTTTTTGAGAAAGGTTTCTACATAGTTGTGTTTATTCCCCTTTATTTTCACTTCTTTTCTATGATTCTCGCTTTGTCTTTGTACCCTTGCCATTTTCGCTGATTTCTTTTTTCTGTGTATTTTCACTCTTTATTTGACTTTCCACAAGAGTTTTTTGAAGAGACCTTTGAAACAATACGCATTGCACTGTTTATTTGTATTGTTTTATATTTGCGTTCGCCTGCACTAAGACCTCCTGCAGGGTCGTTCCTGGCACGTTAAAAAATTGACTGATTGGTTAATTGATCTATTGATTCATGAAATAGTTTATTGATTGATTATTGTTGTTACAGTAACAAAATTGTACTAAAAAGTCACAGTTTCACCGCAAGGGAGAAACAATGAATGCGATAGAAACAAATTGGAATGTCTCACGAAAAGCGGCACCCACATCGAAACGTGGAGCGCGTTGCGTAAGAATAAAGAACGTGCAAAAAGCACACACACAGGAATAGCTAATAGTGCTCACAGCTCAACACTCAATGTGCTGCGCAAACACAAAGGGCGCACCAAATCATGTGTACACGCACAGGAATTTGCAGGATGAGCCCGAAGAACTGATGTCAAAACAGTTACTTCACTGTGTTTGAAAAGCGTGCTTTTTTTATGGAGATACTCCAGCGAGTGAGGTGACCTGCGTGCACCCTATAACTACAGCGCAATTGTCCAGGTAAAACATTGGCAGATCCCACGTATAGTGGGAATCGATGATATGCGAAGCACGAATGAGGAAGGATGATATGTCACTTTAAAATCAGAACAACGTTACGAGGCGGGCATAAATTATGCCTTACGTGACTTCTATGTCATGATTATTATGTTTGGACGTGCACTTACATTCATCGTCAATTCACGTCACGTGATACCAAATTTGGTATATGTGAAGCTAGCAAAACGGCCGCGAGCGCTTCATGAGCGTGGTACGTTGTCATATTTTTACAAGACACGTACGTAATAATTATCATGTTTGTACCAGTAATATTCACGTCACGTAATGCCAAAATTAGTATAGGGGAAGTTAGCGAAATACCATGAGTGTACAATGAGCGTAGCATGTAGTCATGTTTCACATGACACACATGCCATGATTATCATGATTGTGCGTGTCAATTACCTTCGTCGTCCGTTCGCATCACGTAATACAAAGTTTGGTACACGTGAAGCTAGAGAAACGGCCGTGAATGCATCATGAGCGTGGAATGTGGTCATGTGTTTACATGACAAACATCTCATGACAATCATGTTTGCACCACTCAGATACCTTGTCATCCATTTACGCCCCGTAATACCAAATATCGTATGCGCGAGGCTAGTGAAACGACCGCGAGCGCACCATGAGCGTGGCGTGTAGCCATAATTTACATGACAATTATGTCATGATTTCCACGTTAGAGTCTCTCACTTTTGTTCGGCATGCAGTCATGTCATCAGGTTACCAGTTTCGCAACATGTCATGTGAACGAAACCACCTCGAGATCAGTGAGGTCATGAAATGTATATAATGACATTCATGTCATACATGTCATAATTTTCATGTTATGACTAGTCAGTTTTGCTCATCATGCAGTATTGTTATGCCATACCAATTTTGGTATTGATAGCAATATCTAAACGGCTAGGAGATTGTAAGATCGGCCCCAATACCATCTCCCCTTCGGGACTTGAACGAGCCTACGCATCCAATGCATGACACGTTACCAATTGAGAAGGTGGACGACTCCATGACCATCTCCAACTTCTTCCACTCATCAGAGCTACATCCACGATTTCAAACTACAATCGTTGGCTGCATGTACCGATGGCCACCTCGTGCTGAATGAGCAGGAAGATATAAGAAGAGGAGCGGAAAAAACGAAGAAGCAGCCTCAAATAGTCCGAACAGAGCTGAAAAAAGAAGAGGGCTTGCAGCACATTAGAGGTGTCTGGCATAGGGTCGGCGGAATGGACTTGTATGAGCCCAGGACGCTGATATCATCGCATGTAAACGTGCTGCCGTCTTTTCTCGAGCATCCTGCCCTACCCGGTGTACCATGTGGACAGAGCCACCAAACGTTGACGCAACAGACTGTGCGCACTTCATTTCTGACGCAGAGACAGTGGCGAAAGAAACGCACTCCTTAGTTCTGACGACACCTCGAAAGAATCTTTTCTGCTCACAAATGCGCTGAACAACCTTCCGGTGTTGGTGATGATGCGAACGTGAGCGAAAAGCAGCACCGAAAAAACAAGCCAGCGACTGTGAGCCCTCGTTGGCGGATCCGGCAATCTCCTCCTCGTAATTAGCATCTGCCACTTCCTTCGAGACATAGCAAAGGCCGGCCACCCCATGCATCTTTCAAGCTTACGCGACCTCACTGCGTGGCTCGGACCGCCAGTTTCGTTCACCAGAGCCGCTTCCCGCTTATCCTTCCATGTTGCAGTGGGGTCCTAGCCACCGCGATGGCGCCAAGCCCGTTCACCAGAAACATTTATTTATTTATTTATTTATTTATTTATTTATTTATTTATTTATTTATTTATTTATTTATTTATTTATTTATTTATACATACTGCAGCCCCCAATTTGGGGCTATGGCAGGAGTGAGCATTTGCAGAATGAAAAAAGAAAAAAATAACAAACAAACAGATCAACAGAGCAATAAAACAAAAGAACACTTAACGCAAATCAGCAAGGGCAAGTAAACAATTTTCCAGCGGAAGGGAGCGAATATCACCGGACAGTTGATTCCACATTTCGGCAGTGAAAGGAAAAAAACTAAATTTGAATGTGTTAGTTCGACAATGGTAAGGCTTGATATTAAGGTGGTGATTACTTCTAGTTGTGGACGGCGAGGCAAATGAGATGTAGGTATTGTGGGACATGCGATAGACCGAGTTAATAAAACAGTAAAGCAGTTTCATAGAATCTTTTAGACGGCGCATGCGTAATGTGGTTAGTTCAAGAGAAGACAGGGCAAGGGAAGGTGAAAAGTAGCGATCATAGTGGTTACAAATAAATCTGATAGCTTTTTTTTGAATAGCCTCAATTCTATCGATTTCACCCTGCTTGTGTGGATTCCATACGGGGCATGCGTAGTCAAGTATAGGACGAATCAGTGTTTTATACATTAGTAATTTAGTGCTTTTGGGGGATTGGGACAGTGTTCGTCTTAAATAACCTAACTTTTTTAAAGATTTTGTGCAGATAAGGTTAATATGCTGAGACTAAGATAAATTGCTAGAAAGAACAACACCAAGATATTTGTATTCTGTTACTTTTTTTCAGGTGGATCCGTTAAACGAGTACGTGAAGCAGGAAGGGGACTTACTATTCGTGAAAGACATAAGCACAGATTTGTTAAAATTTATACTCATTTGCCAGGTTGCACACCATTCACAAAATTTAGTAATGAGTCATTTAGACGATAATGGGCTTCAGGAGAGTCGATGGGTTCATACAAAACACAATCATCCGCGTACAGACGAATTTCACAGGTGACGTTATTAGGCAAATCGTTTATGTACAGTAGAAACAGTAACGGGCCAAGTACATAACCTTGTGGAACGCCTGAATTAACACTAACAATGTCGGAGTCAGTTGAGTTATAACAAACGTATTGCGAGCGCTCAGAAAGAAAATTAGAAATCCAGGTAACTAGTTGCGGGTTGTTTAATATGGCATTTAATTTGCATAGTAATTTAGAGTGAAGTACAGTGTCGAACGCTTTCGAAAAGTCGATGAATAGTGCGTCAACCTGATTACCAATGTCCATATTACTAGAAATGTCGTGCACGAATTCGGTCAGCTGCGTAACAGTACTATAACTTCGTCTGAATCCATGTTGGAAGCTAGACAACAAATTGTTAGATTCGAGAAATGCAATAATATGTTTGTATATAATATGCTCTAATAGCTTGCAGGAATGAGGGGTAAGAGAGATGGGCCTGTAATTGCTGAAAACTTGCTTGTCACCAGATTTATGTAAAGGTACTATTTTGCCGTTTTTCCAAGATCTGGGAACGGTTCCAGATTTTACGGATTTATTGAAAATTATTGTAAGGTATTGAGAGGTCCAAAGGGAGTAGCGAACGAGAAACATGTTGGGGATACCATCGGGTCCATTACACTTTTTAGTGTCCAAATTAAGTACGAGATTTAACACGCCCTCTTCAGTGATCACTACATCACTGATTGGAGACGTTGGATTCAAGGTGGAAAAAGAAGGAACAACCAGATTGTCGACTGTAAAGACAGACTGAAAGAACGAATTAAAATTGTTCAAAATTTCCGCCGGATCATCAATGATTCTATCGTTTATTTTGAAAGAATTACAAGAAGCATCGCGAGGCAGGACCGAGCGCCAGAACTTGCGGGGATTGTCGGATAGCAAACTTTGAAGTTGAACACGAAAAAAGAAATCTTTAGCTATATTTTGCTGCTCTCGAAGTTCCCTCTTGGCCTCAGTAAACCTGATAATGCTTTCTGGATTGCTCGATGATTTGCAGCGCCGAAGTCTTCGGACTTTACGAGATAAGTGTAAAAGATCGCGGGTCATCCAGGGAACATCAGTGTTTTTCTTTTTAGTCTTTGTAGGGATAAACTCTGAAATGCATGATTTTACTAGATTTTCAAAAGTGGTAGTTAGTGTATCAATGTCTCCTGAAGCGCTGAGTAGCACAAAGTCATCGTACGCATCCGCCAAAGCGTCTAAAACAGAAAGGTCATCCGCACGTTCAAAGTCAGCAAACGAAGTGAAAACATATCGCGGTTTATTGATTACGCATGCGAGGGAAACGAGAACAGCCTGATGGTCAGACAGGCCATCAATTATTTCATAGTCAAAGCCTTTATCCGAAAGGTCGGAGCTTAAAAATACGAGATCGAGAACAGCATTCAACCTGGTGGCACCATGAACAATTTGAGTTAAGCCGAAAGATACTGTAAAGTCTATAAGTTCCTTGCATTGCCGTCGACTAGGCGCGCTTGCAGGCATGGCCGAGTGTCTTGAGTCACGACCGAGACAGATGCTGGGGCAGTTAAGCAAGGCGGACGAACAAGAGGCTCAGATTAGAACAGCCGGCCCGAAGCAAGGATGCTGTCTCTGTCTCGTTGATTCCTGTGCCCGCATAGTTGCTATTGCAATAAAAGGATTCGCAATGTCTCATTTTTGAAGGCCTCCTTCACAGCAGGTATCACTCCGACGCCCCAGTAATTTAACTGAACCCCAGAAATTAACCTTCAGCATGTGCACGACGAAATTTAAGTATGCATACTCAGCTCAAAAAAAAGAAAAGTTACTTGGTCATAATTCATGAGTTCATTGAACATTCAATGGAGGAGAAAGAAAGAAAGAAAGAAAAAAAAGAAAGAAAGAAAGGAAGAAAGAAAGGAAGAAAGAAAGAAGGAAGTAAAGAAAGAAAGAAAGGCAAATCGGCATTTGCTACCTTACATGTCAAAAGGGGAACATGTGAAAACAAGAGAGGGATAGAAAAAGAAGAACAAAAACAATCGCAGCATATCCACAGAGTGAGTGATGATAAGCGGGGCGAAGCGGCCGTGCGTCTGTGCGCTTGTCCGTCCGTCTGTCTGTCCATCCGTCCATCCATCTAAAGAACAGTCCAAGTACCGCCATCTCGCATCTTTTCATCATATATTTATCATACACAAGTGCCGCCATCCAGTGGACATTCTGAGGACTAAACGAGAGGTGAGCACAACTACAAACGCGGGACATAAGACCCATGGCGTAAGCAGCTTCGCCCCTAGAAGATTTGTCGGCGCGCGCACACACACAAACACACACACGCGCGCTGCAGCGTGCCACGGTTTACCTTTCGCACAGTGCCGCTGCCTTTAACAAATGCACCACGGCTCGCATTGCTTCCTGGTCTGTGAGGGCGTGGGGTTGAGCAATTAACTTACCCAATGGCGCAGGCATCCGTATCTGACGCACTAATTTCTCCATCTCTTTCAGGCAGTGACTATTATTACCATCTCTTCAAGGATAAGAAGGATACTGGATTTTATGAAAACCACAAAGGACTGGGACAAAGTTTTGAGAAGAACGCTTCGAAGGATTGTGCTTGTCGCATCTACACCACCGCCAGGACTGGCGGAAGAGCTGATTAATACTTTCCAGTTGGCAGAACTTCGCAATATATACGGCATGACCGAAGCTGGAGGATGCATGACTCTTCCTCCGAAAGGAGAATTGTCCTGCGAGAACGTCGGTTTCCCAATAGCTGGCGCCAGGATGAAGGTAATCTCGCTCATCCACCACATGTCGCACTTATTTATCTTCACTCTCAGTCATGGAGCATCATAGCGTTTAGTTTTTAACTTGTACACGTCATGCACCAGCTTACTTCAAAGTGATTAGGCCCAACGGCCTAAAAATAAAAAGGTCACCCAATGATTTGTAATTTTCAGTGAAACCTGAAAGTAGAATGCCCATTGTGATGATAGAGATGTAAGAAGTAAGTAAGAAAATATTATTTCAGTGGAAAACAGGTCTTATAGGTCGCCGACTTGCCGGTTGTAAAACCACCATTTTGCCATGACGCCTGTGAAGCAAGGAGCGGTTCTCTATGACAGTTTCAACCACTGCATATCGTTTACTTTCACTGCTAACCGAAAAAAGCTCAAACACCTCGCAGCTGACGACGGAACAGTATCGCTCTCCGAAAGGAACACGCTCGCACAACCAGCTCATTGTTACGCAAAACTCGCGAATGCGCCAGTGTCGCCCGACGCTCCGACCCTTCCCGTGTTTGTAAAAATATTCATAATGACTGTTTTCCAGCTGATTTGTGCGTGCTCAAGTATTCACCCACATAGCACAGTTTGTAATCGAAAATTGGATGTTATAGCCTCTTTAAGCTTCTTGTGCCAAAATACTGCCACCAAATAATGGTCGATATTTGTTGTCACGTTCACATACAAAAAAATTGGCCCCGTATCTGCATGTTGCACTGCAAATTTCGTCAAAAGGCAGTATTCTTGCGTCTGGAGAGAGTGTAAAAAAAAAAATTGGCAGATCCCTCGTACAGTGGGAATCGATGATATGCGAAGTACGAATGAGAAAGGTTGATATGTCATTTTAAATTCAGCTCGACGTTACGAGGCGGACGTAAATTGTGCCATACATGAGCTCCGTGTCATGATTATCATGTTTGGATGTGTCGTTTACCTTCGTCATTTATTCACGTGACGTAATGCCAATATTAGTATATGTGAAGCTAGCGAAACGGCCGCGAGCACGCTATGAGCGTGGTATGTTGTCATGTTCCTATATGACACTCGTGTCAGGGTTATCATGCTTGTACCAGTGATATACCTTTGTCATTCATTGACGTCACGTAACACTAAATTTGATATATGTAGAGCTAGCGAAACGGCCGCGAGTGCATCATGAAGGGCCCAATATACTCCAACGTGACGTTGACGCGCGCGCGCGCTGGGCACAGCGACGCTATACGTTGGCAAAACGCGAAAAGTCTATAGCCTCACGCCGTATGCGACCCGACGGCAACCGGCGCGAAATGCGACATGCTGCATTTCGCGCCGACAGCACTGTGACTGCCTCTTTTCGTGACGGAGGGATGCCGTACGCACTGAAATGCACATGCGTCAAAGCAACGCAGCGTGGCGCGCGCCTGCGAGTATGCGGCAGGACAAACCAGGTTTAAAAAAAAGTTGAAATTTTTTTTAATCCTCCTTGGGCAGGACTGGCACCTGGCGTGGCTACGCCGGCGTGACATGATGAAACGAACACCGGCACCCACGCGCGCCGTGTCACGTCGAAGTGTATTGGCGCCTTGACTGTAGCGTGTACTCATGTTCTCACATGACACGCATCTCATGATTATCATGTTTGCACCAGTCAGATACCTTCGTCATCCATTTACGTCACGTAATACCAAATTTGGCAGATGTGAAGCTAGCGATAGGGCCGCGAGCGCATCATGAGTGTGGCATGTAGTCATGTTGTTACATGACACGCATGCCGTGATTATCATGTTTAGATGTATTATTGACCTATGTCGTCCGTTCGTGTCACGTAATATCGAATTTGGTAGGTGTGAAGCTAGCGAAACGGCTGCGAGCACATCATGAGCGTAGCATGTAGTCATATTGTTACATGACACGCATCTCATGTTTATCATATTTGCACCAGTCTCATACTTTCGTCATCCATTCACGTGCCGTAGAACCAAATTGTGTATATGTGACGCTAGCGAAACGGCCGCGAGCGCATCATGAGCTTGGCATGTAGTCATGTTGTTACATGACACGCATGTCATAATATTTATGTTAGGGTCTGTCACTTGTGTTTGCCAAGCAATCATGTCATACCAGAGCAGTTTTGCAACATGTCATTTGTGAACGAGACCACTGCAAAAGCAGTAAGACCATCACATGTAACTCATGACATTCATGACATACATGTCATGATTTTCATGTTATGACTAGTGAAATATGCTCGTCATACAGTCATGTTATGCCATACCAAGTTTCGTATTGATATTATTATCCAGACAGCCAGGAGAACTAAAAGTCGTAGACGGATAGATAGATAGATAGATAGATAGATAGATAGATAGATAGATAGATAGATAGATAGATAGATAGATAGATAGATAGATAGATAGATAGATAGATAGATAGATAGATAGATAGATAGATAGATAGATAGATAGATAGATAATCTTGATGTTCGCTAAGAAATGCTTCGCATTTAAAAACGTTTATTTGATGTTCTGCACAAGAAACTCGGTGAATGGTATTCTGGAGGCGCTGCGTTAGAGTTCTTCGAGCGTGCAGTAGAGGCGAACGAGCGCATCGAGTCACGTCATACGTGAGACATGAGCGATATCTAGCAGTTATCCTGGAAAACAGGGCGCGCGTCGTGCGTGCCCGTCTCAGAGCTGATAAGGTGTAGAAAGCAAAGCTATGGGTAGGTGCCACCACCGTGTCGTCTTAGCAAAGCGATGGAAACGCTTGCCATTTCGTGTAAGCGTTGCATGGCCAGCGCAGCGTTATAAAGGCTACGATCCTTAAGATTGCCTATGTATGCCTTTTCTAGTAAAAGATACACATACACATTATTAAAGTGTTGTTGTGGTGCCTGAAATATGCGTGATGATTGCTTTTTAACTGACAATCGCACAAGTATCAACGCTGTTCTTGAGCAATATTGGTGTGCGCTGCGGGTGGGGTCGGCTGTTTGGAGTATCGTTTGGTCACTTTGGTGCCATTTAGGGTACCGTTAAGGATGGACAAACAGGCAAATGTACAAACATACCAAAATTTTTGCGTCGAAGGTTCTCTTTAATAATGAGAATTACACCGAATAAAGCATCATGGTATTTCTAAATTTAGCGGCGTAAGCTACGCAAAATTCACCTCAGATTCCTTCAATGTCCAAGAGGGCACAAAGACCGATACCAATGATCGCTGTTGGTTGCGCTGTTCACTAAAATTGACTAATTAATTTTATGGTAACTGCACTAGGTGGGAATGCATACCTGTATTGAAAGTAGGAGGCCGTCACGTTTCTACACAGTTCCACCGGTGTGGCCGACCAATTTTTAGAAATTATTCCATGTGACGTTCAAAATTACCGTACTTAAAATGTTACCCTGTACCTAAAGAAGTACAGACGACACTCCACTGTACTACATGCACACGTGCAGTGGCGCTGAAGTAGGTGGTTACATTGAATATCGGTGTGAAAATAATTTCAAAAAGAGAATAACGAAAAAGTCAAGAAAAATAAAAAGAATTTAGGGTCGAAAGTCGTACATTGGAGTGCATACAAGAATATTGAAACTGTTGTGTACACGTATCCCGCAGGAGTGTGGCTATAGCGTGGGTTCGGTCTTAGCGAGCCGCAGGACCGCGTTCACCGTCGCCTCGCGTCACTAACGCCGCTGCACAGGCGCGTTCGGACAGCCAAGGCGCAGAGCGCAGCGTGGCAAGTACACAGTACTGTTCTCACACACGTTTGAACACCTCATTGCCAGCGGCAACACCAAAAACGTAGTACAGAGCCCATTCACAAAGGCGGCGGGAAAGCAAGCAATGCTTACCCACCACGCCGTTGGCGAAAAGTAAAACACAAAGGGTTCCGCGAGCACGTCTCTGGGGGGGGGGGGGGGGGGGGGGGATCCCGCTTACACGCCGCTGAGGTATACGGATCCTCGAGACTATGCTGCGCTCTCTCACGATCAGAGACAACAGGGCCCAATCGCTCGAGCGAGGGCCAACTCCGCTCGCGTTGTCTTCGAGAGGTACTATCGGCGTCAAATGAAACCCTAACAGCGGAGCGCGTGTTTCAAGCATTAGAAACAGTATAGTGTTGGCCGTCCAGTCATTACCACCGACAGGCATGCACATCCGGTTTGGAAGCACTGCGCGATCCACCTAGATTGCGTTATCTCCGTTTTTACTCTGGTTTTCGTATGGTGACAATAGTGGAAATCGTGGGCGTGCCAAGCGCTTTTGATTGTATCACTCGCAATTCCTTGCTTTTACTTCAGCATCGCAGGGCAATCGGTGTCTTCGCACGATAAATCATAAAGAGAAATATAATAGGTTTGTGGTTGATTTTTAAATGACTGTCGTATCTCCTTCGCCAGCGCTGCTTCACCTACACCCTTCTTTCAGAAAACGACCCAAAAAGGCTTCATTTTTACTTGAAATGCGGAGTGTTTCTTCGGAAGAGAGCCCACAAATTGTTTCGCTTTACTGGCACGAAGTGAAACAGCGTGCAAGTGCCAGCATTATGAACTAACTTTTGTCTACTATAAATTGACTTTTCCGGGCATTCCGTGATCACAAACCGTGCTACAATACTCGCCTTAGGCTGCAGTAGTTTAACCTCTGTATCTTTAAATTTTCTTCCTTTCAAATACCATACCTGGAACATGAGCAGAAATATTGCACTATAGATGGATTGTGCAGGGCTACCACACCGGATGTGTGGGCCTTATCTGCGTCAATGAGTGGTGGACGGCGCGCACTATGCCATTGATAAGGCTTGTGCCACGCGCTCCACTGTTCGCGTTTCATTTGATGCCGATAGTACAGGCGTAGTACAACCACGTGCCAACACACCACACCGCTCTTCGCCTATAGTGTTCGGAAAGGGCAACGAAAAGTAAGCGTTCGCTGTGGGCGCGAGCCACCGTTGCAGAGTTGGAGTGAGCTCTAAACAAAGGGAGGCGATGTACAGGAAAAAAATGCGTATACTCACCC